TACTACTACTACTACTACTACTACTACTACTACTACTACTACTACTACTACTACTATTAATAATAATAATAATAATAATAATAATAATGCTATATAATTTAAATTGAACTTTAATATGAAATGTTTTTAGCGAAACATAAAGTTTCCGAGTAGCAGACGCCGGGTTACATAACGCGGTAAAATGGTGATGGTACAGTAACGTCAATAATTGTTAAGTCTGTGAACGTTTTTCACCATTATTTTCATGTAATTAAGGTATGCTCTTTTCTGTTTAGTTCTGTTGAATTAAACTTAACATATTATCATATGATGCGCCTGGTAACCTGCTGTTTCATTGTCATAAGTTATCACTAAATTATTATGACATCCTTTTGAAACTCTGGCTCTTGCCAGGGGCCGCAATATAGCCCGGCCATAATTATGTTCTAACGGCTGAACGCGGTTTCTAGGACCTCTCCACGGGTGATCCTCAACCACCTTGTGGCACTTTGTGTTGTCATCGGGTGTTTATCGCTTGTGTGATGACCTGGTGGGGTAGACAGTGTCAGTCAGTCATTATTTTGTGTTTTACGTGAAGTTTTATATATTACTAATATATAAGTATAAGGATGTAGGTTATTACTTATAAAACCACCACAGAGATAGACAGAATTAGTTAAATTACAAATGCAGCTGTACCTCCTTGAAGCCTGTAAGTCATTTCTACTGGGAGATATTAACATTTTAGTACCGGATACCACCAGTGACAAATTATTTATAGTGTGATCTGACAAAAGATGGACTCCGAGCTGCGTCCCAGTCAAATGTAAAGTGGAAATGATTAAATGTTTTAATTTATGGTAATAACTATTTTTTGAAAAACAAATGTTTTAGCAACTTTTTATCATTGCAATCATGACGGTGAAGCCTAAATAAATGTAAATGCATTTCTTAAATACGTATGATGCAACATAGGCTTAAGTAATATAAAAAGGGCTGCCATTTCACTATTTTTTATAAAGTAAATACAGTATACATTTATGGCTATTTGCCAACAAGCCTGACAAGATGTAGGCCTATACTGTATTGTGCGGAGTGATGAGATGCATATATGGATCACACACAGGTCAAGGTTAGTTGCCTATCCTTTACAGGACGTTGCAGAACCAACCCCATCAGCCCCTGGCTGCTGTGTGATTTCACTAGGCAAATTTACATCAAGAAGCCAACGGCGCCTTCTCCATGACAACCAGCAGCATGAGGATGGAGGTAATGGCAGTGACGCAAGCGTTTGCCTGGCTTGAAACACAAAAATACACCCGCATATGTATACTCAGTGATTCAATGAGTATGATCCGGAGGGTTCAGGCAGGTTCAGTGCGAAGACAATGGCTTGAATTAATTCAGAAGTCCACTGTGCGTGGAGTCACTTTTATTTTTGTTCCGGGAGACGCAGGCGTCGATGGAAATGAAAGAGCTGACAGGTTGGCTGGATCCGCTATCACTACTGACGGTCGGCCTATGGATCATGATGATATTATCAGTGCCCTCAGAGAAATGGGAAGGATAGAGGACTTTGGTGGCAGTGAATCCACATCACTCGCCAGAATGGCAGACTTGGGAATTAAGATCGGCACAGCAAAAAACGAGACGCACACCGGACACGTCAGAAGACTTGTTAATCAACATAGAACTGGTACTATTAGCCATCGGACGTTGGGATTCATACTGAGGGGAGGATCTGAGCACCTATGGGCATGTCCGGAGTGCAATGATGATAACCCAACTAACTAACTAACTAACTAACATCCAGTAGTTTGCCATTGCTTTCTGGACGGTCGGTTTCCTGATACCACTGTCTAAACCAATGCAAGGCGTATGACCCGCAGCTGGGATCAAACCCGGTACACCCCCCGCATTACGAAGCATTCGCATCGACTTAGCCACAGAGCCGACGGATCACACACACACATGTCGATAATTGGCGATATGATTTAATTTTTTTTTTTTAAATGGCCACCAGATCACTAGTTTCAGGTAGACGCTTATGAAATAATTATTAAAACAGGTTTAAAATAAACAAATAATCAAATCATTGCACTTGTTTGTGTGGATCAATCTTTCCCTACATAAAAGCTAGCCACCTTTCAAGAATGATGCACAGTGTACAACCTTCGTAGCTCCAGCAAAAAATCCCAGGGAGCCGATAACTTTCAAACCGTTAGGGGAGTGCAAATGGCTTACCAAATTAGCCACTTAGCATTCTGCTTTTAGTTTTACTCTTTAGTTTTAATTTATTTGTACAAATTTTAAGGGAGATATGTTAGTTGTGTATCCTTTACAGAATTTTGCAGAAGAATCAACCGTAGAATTTTTTGGCTGTTGTGGTTTTTATAGGCAAATCTATGTCTAGTAGTTTGCCATTGCTTTCTGGATGGTCGGCTTCTCGATACTACTGTCAAAACCAAGAAAGGCACAGGGCCTGCAACTAAGATCGATCCCGGCATTACGAAGTGCATTCGAAACGCCTAATCCACTCACGCTGACTTTAATGGAGCAGTGTTTTAATTATTTTGGATGCGATCTAACTTATAGTACTTAGAAATTTACATGTTGTATAAATGTGACGTATTTACTAAATTGATATAAATTATCATAACTAATGTGTACATATATGGATTAGCTGCTGTTAATGGGTGGGTGTGTATTATGTTTATGTTGTTTATTTACCAGTACTAAAGAATGTGTTTGCACTGATGTGTGTTGAAATATCTTGAAAGCGAGACTCTTGATGTTCGTTTGTTGAAGGAAGAAATAGACAAATTTATGGATGCTAGTGAAGTTTTATATATTCGGTTATTTTTATTTATATATAATGTTAATATCTCTGCTTAGAACTGACTTACAGACTTCAATGACATAAAGTTGGATTGGCACCTGAGACAACAGATCTTGTCCTCCAAGACGGTCCCCCAAAAAACATATCAAGGGAAAAACTTTTGGCCAAGAGCAACATCGGTGCATGTCAAACTTTGTGGTTCGCTGAGTGAATTACATAAGACAGTGAAGTTCATACTAGAGATAGCATTGCAGATATAGGTAATTTATTTCAAGCGAATGAAAGAAGGAGAAGAAGAAGGAAGAGTGTGATAAGTGATGCCAGTCTATTGTTAAATTATCACTGTACCCAGACCAGGTAGTCACTACACAGTTACAGTGGTTGAAGTTTGGCAGAACATAACTAGGTCCTATATTAATATCCTACCCCAAACAGGAAAAGTCCACAGGTCACGGGACAGTATAATATTTCAGGGGGTGGTAGGTAGGCTGCATGCAGTCATGTGACCTAGGCTGTGTGCAGTCATGTGACCTAGGCTGTATGCAGTCAAGTGACCTAGGCTGTATGCAGTCGTTGGACCTATGCTGCACTCTCTCGTGGGACGTAGGTGGGTTGGAGTTAGGGCCAGTTGTGGATGTTTTGGGGTCATTACAAGCATCAGAAAGCTGGGAAACACAGTCTTACCACCCTCTAAAATGTTGATCTGTCATGTGACGTCATCTGGGGTAGGATATTATTAAAGAACCCTTTTGTAATAGTTGTGCTGAAGTGTGTAAACAAACCTAATTACTAAACATGTTCAGGCAGTATGCCCTGATGGAGTGAAATTATCACAGCTCTATAAAAATGTCTTAAACAGATAATAATATAAAACTTATCGGTTGCATAAAAAATGCTACAGCGGTTGCAGATTTAAAAAATAATGCTCATATAACTAGCACTTTAGTTAGCATTTTAACCTAATTACAAAATGCAGCCATGATGAGTGCTATGCTCTGCATTTAGCGGTTATTTGACAGATAAAAAAATATTTTTTTAAAGGCATACTGCAGATATAAAGTAATGACAGATACATTGAAAATTGCCACAGCTATTGTAGATTTTAAAATATATAACTCATAAAACTTTAAATAATGCGGACACAAACAATACATTGCACAATTTATTGCCAGGCATATTTTGCTTTATCGCAACAAGTGTGTTACTACAGAGTTACATCAACATAAAATGAAGCACACAAAAACTGAATAAATAATTATAAAATCAAATCAGGTCAAACGTCCATCTGGGGCGGACATGTTTGATCGGGGATCTCAAGCAGAACGTTGTGGTCACTAAAATATTTTTTTTCAACATTTGCTGACAGGGATCGTCTTCCACGCTGTTTGCTTCAATCAACGACGAGATGTCTACTCTTAACTCTTGTTCTTGCTTCATTTGACAAAGACAGGTTTGATAGAATTACAGCTTTCAGACACATCTCAGTGCATTTCGCTCTAGATCAGGGGTGGGCAACCTTTTCATTTTTAATTTATTTTGGGTCCTCAAACTGAATTTAGAACGTTTTTTGGGCCGACATTGTTCTTCCAGTGCCAAACATGAACCCTTACTACAACTAATGAGCATAAGATCATAACAACAGAGATGAGATGTCTTAGGAGAGCTGTCGGTGTGACATGGAGAGATAAAATCAGGAATGAAGAAATAAGAAGAAGACTAGGATTGAAACCAGTCATACAGTTAATTAAAGAACAACAAATGAGATGGTTTGGCCACCTGACGAGAATGCCCTGGTACCAACTGCCACAGAGAGACACACTGAAGAAATATAATGAACACAGAGCAAGTGGAAGACCGTGCAAGATATGGAGCGACGCCATCAAGAGCAACCTAACAGAAATGAACACCAACTTGTACAATGCATTGGAAAAGGTGCATAAACGATCCTTATATCCCCCCCCCCCCCCCTCCCTCCCCTAACACCTTGATGACGTAAATGGTGGAAGAGAAAAAGAAGAAGGCACTCTTCACTATTGCAGATTACTTAATTAATTTTTTTTTGTCGCTTTTTAATTTCCTAGTGTTTACAACCCTGTGGCTGTACACATTTACACTACCACAAACTCGGGCCAGCTCACTGTTGTTGGTCGCTCGTCTTTGTGTGGCTCATTTATCCTTGAAAATGGCAAAACGAGCATCCTCTTCTGCAGGCAGCAAGACGAGGAATTCTACCAAAGCTGCGCCAGCAGAAAATGATCCAAAAAAGGAAGTTAAGAAAGCTGTGAAGAGAAAGCAAGAGCCTGATGAAGTAGTTCCAGTAAAGTCTAAGAAACCAAGCAAAGAGGTAATAATTGTGTTAACCTTAGATTGTTAGTTGATGAATGTCAGACTGGGTGGTTGTTTGGTATATATCCGTGAAAAAGGTGACAGAATGTTTTCTATTGAAGGCAAAACTAAATTCTTAACCTAACTAAAAAGTGATGTAAAACAATTTTAAAAAAAAAATACGCTGTTAATTAAATCATATACGCTTAAAAATGTAATTTACCTAATGCCTGTTATTTGCTGCCTTTCATCCCACATTTGAGAACAAACCCTCAAGCCACTCATACAAACCCTAAGACCACTCACACCAAGCCCTCTGCTCTCACACAGCAAGCCACCGACCCACTCACACCAAGCCCTCTGCTCTCAGACAGCAAGCCACCGACCCACTCATACCAAGCCTCTAACTCACACTAAGCCATCGACTCACTCATACCAAGCCTCTAACTCACACTAAGCCATCGACTCACTCATACCAAGCCTCTAACTCACACTAAGCCACCGACTCACTCATACCAAGCCTCTAACTCACACTAAGCCACCAACTCACTCATACCAAGCCTCTAACTTACACAGCAAGCCACCGACCCACTCATACCAAGCCTCTAACTCACACTAAGCCATCGACTCACTCATACCAAGCCTCTAACTCACACTAAGCCATCGACTCACTCATACCAAGCCTCTAACTCACACTAAGCCACCAACTCACTCATACCAAGCCTCTAACTCACACTAAGCCACCAACTCACTCATACCAAGCCTCTAACTTACACAGCAAGCCACCGACCCACTCATACCAAGCCTCTAACTCACACTAAGCCACCGACTCACTCATACCAAGCCTCTAACTCACACTAAGCCACCAACTCACTCATGCCAAGCCTCTAACTTACACAGCAAGCCACCACCCACTCATACCAAGCCTCTAACTCACACTAAGCCACCGACCCACTCACCCCAAGCCTCTAACTCACACTAAGCCACCGACCCACTCATACCAAGCCTCTAACTCACACTAAGCCACCGACCCACTCACTCCAAGCCTCTAACTCACACTAAGCCACCGACCCACTCATACCAAGCCTCTAACTCACACTAAGCTACCAACTCACTCACTGCAAGCCCTCCGCCCACATCACCATGTCCTCAAGCCACTCACATCAAACCCTCAAGCCACTCACATCAAGCCCTCAATCCACTCACATCAAGCCCTCAAGCCACTCACATCAAGCCCTTGTGACCCCTTCACACCAAGCCCCCAGTCCATTCAGTTCAAGTCCCAGCCCCGCTCACCAAGTCTACCCACAGACTAAGTAGCGCCCTTGATCCACTCACAACAAGCTTTCATCCCTCTCACACGAAGAATTCAGCCCACTGACACCAAGCCCCCGACTGACACCAAGCCTCACAACCCACTCACACCTAGCCTTCATCCCTCTCACACGAAGAATTCAGCCCACTGACACCAAGCCCCCAACTGACACCAAGCCTCACAACCCACTCACACCTAGCCTTCATCCCTCTCACACGAAGAATTCAGCCCACTGACACCAAGCCCCCAACTGACACCAAGCCTCACAACCCACTCACACCTAGCCTTCATCCCTCTCACACGAAGAAATCAGCCCACTGACAACAAGCCTTCGACTGACACCAAGCCTCACAACCCACTCACACCTTGCCTTCATCCCTCTCACACGAAGAATTCAGCCCACTGACACCAAGCCCCCGACTGACACCAAGCCTCACAACCCACTCACACCTAGCCTTCATCCCTCTCACACGAAGAATTCAGCCCACTGACACCAAGCCTCACAACCCACTCACACCTAGCCTCCAAGAAATACAAATCCTTACCACACTCTACATCACAACTGCACTAATCTTGTGGCCCTAATTCCTTAGCCTCAAGATCTTCTGCCCCCCTCCCCCTTTTTTTTGTCCCTTTCCTTTTCCCTACTTAATCTTATGCACTGTAAGTGGTAAATTAAAGTAGAGGTCGACCACGCAGAATATGGACCAAGGCAGAAATATCTGCGACACTAAAGTACTATGTATGAAGCAAGCAAAAGGGCCCATTCTGCCCTGTTGCCATGAGGCATTTCAAGAGTAGAGAAAAGAGTATCTCGGGCCGAGTGCATTTTAAAGATTTTTTTTTTATCTTTACTCCCCAGATCCCAGAATCTGAGGACTCAGCTAAAAGTGTTAAAAATGGTGAAGATAAGAAACTGTCCACAACCGGTGATTTCATTGAGAAGATCATTCAGAAAAGAGCAGCAGTTTGTGAGAGTGTGGCCAAGTTTAAGTTCAATAAGAAACGGGTTCGAGTGATAACAGACATGGAAGAGTTCTCTCTAAGCTCCAACGGCGTTCTGTACTGGATGTCTCGTGATCAAAGAGTGCAAGGTTGGTCTAAGTGCTGTTTGCTTTTTATATACTTTATGAAAGTAGAGCATCAAATGTGTGTTGTCCATCAAGATGATGATGACCACTCTTTTTCATCAAGTATGAGTACGAAGATGACCGATGAGGCCGATGCGGGCCCGAAAAGTTCTTGGACAGTGAGGACAGGGAATGAGTGTTGGGCCAGGGAGGGGATTTCCTGCAGTCGCCTTTCTGTCCATCCTTTTCTTAATAAGTCTTGCTGTTCTGTTTGTTTCACATGTAGCCGTGCCCTTGTGTAGAGCTGCACACCATGCATTTGGGTCTTGAGAGGCAGCCTCCCAATTGTTGTCATTCATCCCAAATGCTTTGAGTGAAGACTTCAAGGTTTCCTTAAAGTGTTTCTTTTGCCCGCCTTGGGAACGTTTCTCATTTTGCAGCTCAACATAGAATAGTTTTTTTGGGAGCCTGTAATCTGGCATGCGTGCCACATGACCAGCCCAACAAATTTGATACTGCATCAGTAGAGTGTGGATGCTGGGCATGGCTGCTTTCTCAACGAGAGCATTATATACAACAATGAAAAGGAGACAAAGTTTTTTTGTTATGTGATAAGAAAAGGAGCACCGGAAAATATGACGACTGGAAAGATCACTGGTAGCAGAGGCAGAGCAAGAGAAATTATGGTGAATGGCTTGAGACAGTTGCATGGGGGAATATCATCAGTGGAATCGATCCAGAGAACCAAAGACCATGGTCTGTGGAGATGCTTGAACGCCTACGCCAGCTGGCAAGCCACTTGATGACAATGCTTTATGTAATCATAAAGAAGATACAAGTATTAGAAATGAGATTGTTCAGAAAAATTCTTGGCATATCATAAAGAGACCATATCACAAACAACAAGGTTCACATATAATTATCCAGCATGTTAGCAGTTGGGAACCTCTTTAACTCTTTGAGTCCCAAGGAACGCATTCCTACCTAAAAGCCCAATGAACGCATGATGCGCCGATTTTATTAATTTCTTTACTACCCCCTGGGCCAGTAATGCTAAACCCCCTAAGACTGAAAGAGTTAAACCACAGTGGAAAGACAGGAAAATGCAGTGCTATGTGTGTGTGTAGTAAGATCTAACGGCTTCTCAAAAACAGGACAAAAGGGCTCAGCAGAGAAGAAGAGGCCAGACCAAGAAAGACCTGGAAACAGAACTTGACTGACCGGACAGCCCTTAGGCGTGCAACCATGGAGTCCATCGTTTCTGACTTAGATCAAACTACTGAATGTACAGCTGCCTAATGAAATCACAGACAGACAGCTAACAAATGCTGGGGTTGGTTCTGTAACACCCTCTAAATGATGCACAACTAACAGTTTCAGTTGTGTTATATTGTTGGTCTGTCGAAGTGTTGAAGACTGCTCAGCATTTTAGAAAAAAAGTTTATGATTAAATGTTAGAAGGTGGCGGATTAGTTTGAGCTGAGCCCAGATTTGTTTGGCAGATATGAATAAAACCCAGTCATAAATGCTGCATCTCAAATATTTGGCCATATCGTGTTATGTTATGACACAGTTGATGTCTTTGCACCTTGGGCATCCCCATGCATGCTCAGTCCTCCAATGCAGCAGCCACTCCAAGGCACCTCTCCTGATTGTTTCCTTGAGTAGTTAGTTAAAGTCTCTCCTGTCTTTACAAAGACGTGCTTCTCCAAGCTTAACTCCTCGGTCACGCAGTCATGTTAGCGTCAGAGATTCAACATTATCCCCAAGCCTAGTCTGTACACAGTGTTGATAATAGCAGCTCTTTCCGTGCTTCTTCCCGTTTGCATTGGTGCATTACTGGTCAGTTCTTGCATTACCATTTACTCCTGCGTGCCCAGGTATGTAGATCCAGGCGATGGAGGTTAAGTGCGACTTTTGAATGCTTTCTACCTATTCGGAGCGTAGAAAGGCTGTAATGATTTTCTGAAGCATGCTGCTAGAGTCTGAAAGGATTACCACATGTGTGGCCACTTGTAATGCCACCAAAGTGAAGGCTCTGGAAGCAACAGTTATCTCCATGATCATGCTTGACATAACCGTCAGGTAAGCGCTGATATCCTCATATATTGTTCCCCTATCCTTTGTGCTGTGTATGCCGGTGCTGATCTTGACCCACGCTTCAGGGAACCATCTGTCAATGATTACCTCTTCTGTGCGTGAATGTTGATCAGTCAGTGTCCTAATCTCGGCATCTGCGTTGGCGGGTATCTGACTCCTGCAGTACCTCCCTAGTGTTATTACAACCTTAGACAGGTGTTGCCAGGTTTCGTTCGCATACCAAGACTAATCATGAAATCAGTAATAATGCGCCATGTATTGCGTCGATACACATAGACATAAGCAAAGCATACATGGTACATTGCTTGCGACGGAAAGGTTTAATGAATTCAACTTTGGTTTCAGATAACTGGGCCTTTTTATATGCTCAGCGGCTGGCGCTAAAATTAGAGGCACCTCTCCACGTCTGCTTTTGTTTGGTACCCACATTTCTGGAGGCTACAATTCGCCAGTTTGGATTTATGATGAAAGGTCTGGCTGAAGTGGAGAAAGTAAGTCTGAAGTGACGTTTTTGAAATAAGAAAATATGTACATTTATATATGTGAATACACTTCTTCTTCCTTCTTCTTTCTTCTTCTTCTTCTTCTTCTTCTTCATCTTCTTCTTCTTCTTCATATTCTTCTTCATCTTCTTCTTCTTCATCTTCTTCTTTCTCCTTCCTCTTCCTCCTCCTTCTCCCTCCTCCTCCTCTTCTTCTTAGCCCTCGCCGCTATAAACTCCAGTGGAAAGTTCTGGGCTTGTCTTGTTCCAGAATTTTATGTTTGCATACACATATGTTTTACAGATCTGACACAGACTGTTTTGGTTCCTTGCCTCTCAGGCAGATGTACTCTGACTTAAAAAGAAAAACCCCTAATCAGCCGTTTTGTACGACATGCTTCTTAGGAAGAGTGTGGGTTGATTATTTACCCCCACATGGGGTCCTAGACCCCACACGGGGGTACTTTGTCTTATTCTCTTTCTGTCTTTTTGTCTGCTTCTGTTTCATCTTCTTCTTTCTTCTTTATTAATTTTTTCTCTTTCATCTTCTTCTTCTACTTCTTCTTCTTTACCCGCACCCCAATTATTAAGCAAAACCCGCTTGCCCCCCCCCCCCCCCCCCCCCATCCTTAAGTATTTGGCAAGATCCCTATACCAACATTATAAATTGTGATTAAAAAGAGAAGAGGACAGTAGATTATGCAACAGGAGAAACAGAAAGTGTGGATATACTTAGAACGTGTTCTTAAACTACAATTAAACCCTGAATGAATTCAATCCTCTCAACTTTTAATTACTATTATAATTTTTTTTAATATGATGGATATTAAAACTAGTAAAATGTTTCACCTATCTGGTACATGTTACATGTACATGATGGTGCAAGTCAAACTTTACAAAAGACAGTGAAGTTCATACTAGAGACAACATTGCAGATATAAATAATCTATTTCAAGCGAATGAAAAAAGAAGAACAAATGACAGGAGAATTGAAACAGGAATGGCTAAAAGTATCTTCAACAAGATGCAACAAATGTTGACTGCTAGAAAAGTAACTAACGCATTGAAAATTGTCAAATGATATTATATTGGGCTGTGTGTGCAGAGAGTGGCCAGTGGGTCACAAGTTGAAGTCCAACTGTTGATTTACGACAATTCACGCCAGGTGATCTGATTATCTATACAGATGGTTCAGTGTTGAGAGAAGAGAAGTGCCTAGGGGTTCGTAGCGAAAGCCAATGGAAAATCTTTAGTGCAAGACAGCCTGGCATACGAGACCACAACATCTAGCATGAGAATGGAGGTGGAAGGGGTAACTGCAGCTCGCTGGTCGCTAGAGAACAAGATGAATAGACATGTCGTAATAAAAAAGGTGAAGACAGAGATGCTTCGAGCAGAGTGGCAAGTTTCACTGGAAAGGTAGTGAGTATACTTTGGATCTTTTCTCCAGGCGATGCCGGTGGGGTGGGTAATGAACAGGCAAACAGACTGGCTGGATCCGCACCACTGGGTGGTGAATTGATGCATGATAAGGCAGATGTGGTCAAGGCCCTTTGGGAACAAGCAACGGAATCAGTAGAGAAAGAAGTTGGGAACAAGCAACGGAATCAGTAGAGAAAGAAGATTATTAAGGCCTGCATAGAATGAGGCACCTTGGTGTAATCAGAGGTCTGGCCGGCTCACTACACTCAGAGGAAAGGCAAGATGGACACATAACCATATTGTGACCGGTACCATCAGTATTGGAACTCTGCACTGGCTGCCGAAGAATTTCCCGAGTGCCTTGATGTCAATTCTTGACTCAGCTCAACACATATACTCAGTCCTGCTTATGCAGAACTGAGATAAGGGACCCCCAAACTTTGGGGAGCTCAATGTCTTGTATCAACCTTTGGGGAGTTCAGTGTCTTGTATCCACCTTTGGGGAGCTCAGTGTCTTGTATCCACCTTTGGGAAGCTCAGTGTCTTGTATCCACCTTTGGGGAGCTCAGTGTCTTGTATCCACCTTTGGGGAGCTCAGTGTCTTGTATCCACCTTCGGGGAGCATAGGTTTTCATACTGTTTAGCTCTGCATTGCTAAAGTGATTTTTAGATTAATGATATACCAGACAGTTTTTTTTTTTTTTTTTTGCACAGGAATGCAGGGATTTGAACATCCCTTTTCATCTTCTTTTAAGAGTGGCAAGTACCTCAGTTCCCAATTTTGTGAAAGAGAACAATATCGGTGGGATTGTCACAGACTTCTCTCCTCTGCGAACTCCCCTGAAGTGGTTAGATGATCTCAAGAAGGCCCTACCAAAAGATGTCCCTCTCTGTCAGGTAAATAGCAGGTTTGTTTTTATCATGACTGAGTTGTGTTGCACTGATTGTGTCATGTCCTTACTCACATAGGACTGCACATAGGTGAAGGTGATGCTGTAGTTCACACAGACGGATCAGTATTTGAGAGCAAGCAAAGTGTGTGGGCCTTCACGGTGAGCTCAGGGGAGGGGGGGGGGGGGAGACCATCAAGAAGATGAATGGCACCAATGCCATGGGAAGCAGTGTCTGGCTTAATGTTGTCCTCATGGGAAGCAGTGTCTGGTGTAATGTTATCCACATGGGAAGCAGTGGCTGGCGTAATGTTGTCCACATGGGAAGCAGTGGTTGGCTTAATGTTGTCCACATGGGAAGCAGTGGTTGGCGTAATGTTGTCCACATGGAAAGCCGTGGCTGGCGTAATGTTGTCCACATGGGAAGCAGTGTCTGGTCTAATGTTGTCCACATGGGAAGCAGTGTCTGGTGTAATGTTGTCCACATGGAAAGCAGTGGTTGGCGTAATGTTGTCCACATGGGAAGCACTGTCTGGTGTAATGTTGTCCACATGGGAAGCCGTGGCTGGTGTAACGTTGTCCACATGGGAAGCAGTGTCTGGTGTAATGTTGTCCACATGGGAAGCCGTGACTGGTGTAACGTTGTCCACATGGGAAGCAGTGTCTGGTGTAACGTTGTCCACATGGGAAGCCGTGGTTGGCGTAATGTTGTCCACATGGGAAGCAGTGTCTGGTGTAATGTTGTCCACATGGGAAGTAGTGGCTGGTGTAATGTTGTCCACATGGGAAGCAGTGGTTGGCGTAATGTGGCTGGAGACAAAGAATTTTTTACAGGTGTGCTTTTTTAGTGGTTCCATGAGAATGCTTAAGAAGATCATTACAAGATGGATTCGAATGTGATGGTTACAGCCACTTAAAGAAATCTTTTCTCAGTGGAAGAAGTTTCATTTCTGTGCTTGGGCACTTTGGGGTACAATGGAATGAACAAACAGATTAGCTTGCTGGGAGGGCCACGATAGGTACAGGACATGCAGAAGTAGGGGGCAACATTCTCAGTGCTCTCAAGGAGGCAGGACGAGCAGAATAGCTGGCTGGGAGGGCCATGATAGGCACAGGACATGCAAAAGTAGGGAAGATGATTCGGGAGACAGTGGTGAGTCAGCAACACTAAAAAGACTTCAAGAACTTCAGGTCACGAGAGGTGCTCCCCGACCTGAACAGCCAAAGAAGAATAGTAAACCAACATAGAACTGGTGTTATCATTCGCCACTAACTAGCCCATCAAGGGCCATTTGGTCTGTTAATGTTGAATTAAGAATTGAAATCATAGCACTCGAGACACTGCCATAAGAACTCCGTCCACACCTTCAGCAGCAAGCGAAGAGTTCCAATTCCAATGCTACCAGTAATTGGCTGATTGTACATCTGTCTCGCCTTTCCCTTGAGTGTTGGGCGTCGGCCAGATCCCCTGATAGCTCCCCGCATGGCCATTCTCCTCAGACTAATGATCTGTTTGTGCCTCCGCACTGTTCTCTCACTCCCAAAGGGCGCTTACAACATCTAGCTTGTAATACAATTAGTTCACCACCAGGCGGTGCAGAACCGGCCAGTCTATCTGCCTGCTCATTTCCCCAACGCACTAACTTGACCTGGAGAAAATATCAGGACTGTAATTATAATATTACGCGAGCCACCATGGTGTAGCGGCTAGATGCTCGCCTGTAAATCAGAAGCTCATGGGTTTGGATCCTGGCGGAGCCGGACTTTTTATAAAAAAATGACCTTAGCTTCCAGATTGACCCAGCCTTGAGTGAGCACCAGGTGCTGTAGTCCTGGGAAGTAAAGGTGGCTGGCGGGATTCTGAGCACATCAGCCAGCAAATGCCGGGTGTTCAATAAAATATGGGTCTAGCCCTATATGCCCAATATGCCTGAAGGCTTGAAAAAGGGTTTCTTTACTTTACATTATTATGTTTAGCCGCGTTAGCGCAGTCGATACGAGACTCGATTTCAAATCCAGCTGTGACTCGCTGCAGCCCAAGGTGGATGTTTGAAACCGGACAGTTCCCGGGGTTCACACAGCCTCTAGGAAATGGGTACCAGAGTTGACACTCCCGGGTAAATGGAGGAACGTCGCTGTAGCTACAGAGTTACGTGCGGACGGCGACACAGGTGGGTTGTTTTTACTCAGCTGTCTGTACTGGTGGTAGAGCACTTATGGTTTATAACTGCGTGCAATGACGCTGATTCACATCTCCCGACTTTACCTTTTTATTATGTTATTAAAGGACTATGTATATTTTTTATTATCTTGGTCTATAAAATATATCTAGCACCATATACCTGATGGGACAGTTTAGTGCAAAGGGACTTTTAATTTTTATTGAATTTTATGCTTGCACAGGTGGATGCCCACAATTTAGTGCCTTGCTGGGTGGCTTCCCCTAAACTGGAATACGCAGCTCGAACAATCCGTACCAAGATCCACAATCAGCTGGAAGGATTTCTCACAGATTTTCCTCCTCTTGTGCAGCATCCGCATCCTCCAGACAAGATGCCTTCAGTAAGTGCTGGATTTAGATAACAGTAAAGTAAAGGTCCCTTTTCCAGGCCTTTAGGCGTATAGGGCTAGACCTATATTTTTATAAACCAATCAGCATCACGCTGGCCGCCTTTACTTCCCGGGACTGCACCCGATACCCACTCAAGGCTGGGTCAACTTGGGAGTCGAGGTCAGTTTAGAAAAAAGTCAGGTTCTGCCAGGGAACAAACCCACAACCTTCCGATTCGCGTACAAGGGTCTAGTAGGTAGACCGCGGCAACTCTCAAATTTAGATTACTGCTTCTAATTAATCAGTATCATTACTCTCAGGAAAAATCAGTAAGTGCTCAATCTCCATTAGCTAGTGTTGCAAGATGTAGATGCTGATTATTCCAGTAATAATAATCATCAACAGACCGCCCAACAGGCATGGGCGATCATGCCCATCCACGATCTCTGACCATCAGCAGAATGAATCAGTTTGTGTGCTGACACCCCTCCATGTTATGACAAAAGGCTGTTAAGAATCTACTGACATTGACTTCCTCTGTCTTGTTTTCCACAGTTCTTTCCAGTGGTCACATGTTCCAGTTTCCTGGAGTGATTTATTACATAAAATATTGTTCATCTTCTGAAAAGCTGCCTTTGTCTGGCCAATTCTGCTCTAGATTTCTGTCACACATCATCCATCCGATGTTATGAATGTCCCCAAATACTTGAATTTATTGACTTGGTTAAGTATTTTCCCTTTCGTTTATTAAAAAAAAAAATATTTAATAAATATTTTAATAATATTAAATGGGCAAAGCGACCCCTGACCTTAAACTTAAAAATCCCTCAGTGGGTTCTGGGGCCCTGTTATAGGGAAAACAAGGATAGACCCACTGCTTACCTAAAAGCATGTCGTAAGAATCTACTAATTGGGAGCTTCCTTCGAAGTCAGAGTGCATCTGTCTAAGTCAGATGTGTAAAAAGGATGCACACGCAACACTCAGGTTCTGGAACAGGACTACAGTCCAGAAGTGGACGAACAACCAGAACTTTCCACAGAGTTAACAGCTGGTGAATGCAAAAAAGAAGAAGAAGAAACTTAAAAAGAATTAAAAAGGAAAATAGTTTTATACAAGAAAAAACATAGTGAAATTTGCAGCATAATCTCTCAAAATATTTGGTGTCTTATGAAGGTAACAGATTGGAAGGCAGCCGATGAATTTCTAAAAGTGGATCGAACAGTACAGGAAGTCAGTTGGGCCAAGCCAGGCTCGATACACGGCTTAAGGATGCTGGAAGACTTTTGTGAAAACCGGTTGAAGAATTTCGCTACCCACAGGAACGACCCCAACAAAAAGGCCCTCAGCAACCTATCACCGTGGTTACATTTTGGTTGGTTGTTTCCGTTACCTAATTTTTATGTCATTTATAGAATATTAAATGGGTCATTTATAAAAAAAAGTTAATGGGTCAATTTAAAACCCGAACATCTGTTAATTTTAGCATTTTGTGGGCCATTTAAATAAACACGGTGAGATGAGATTTAAAAGAAATCATCATCGTCAAGTGCTTTGCCAGCTGGCATAGGCGTTCATGTGTCGCCACAGATTTCAGTCTTTGGTGTTCTCGATCAGTTCCACTGATGTTATTCCTCCATGCCATTCTCTTAAGCCATCCACCATAATTTCTCTTGGTCTGCCTCTTCTTTCCAGTTGTCACAATATTTTCCTGTGCTTGTGTTCTCATCACATGATCAAAGAACTTTGTTTGTCTCCTATTCTTTGTTGTTTATAATGTTCTTCTTTCATTGGCCATTTCCAGGCAATCATTGTTAGTTATTTTGAGAGTCCAAGGTAATCGCAACATTCTTCTCAAGAACCACATCTTAGTTTCCTCCACTCTTCTTTATTTGTTTGCCCAAATTCCAAGATTCACTGCCATACTACAGGACAGGCTCGATGTAACATTTCAATCCTCATTTTCTGATGTTTAATGAGAGTGGTTTATTACATAAAATATTTTTCATTTTCTGAAAAGCTGCCTTTGTCTCTCCAATTCTGCTCTTAATTTCTGTCACACATTGTCCATCTGATGTTATGATTAAAGTTCCCAAATACTTGAATTTATTGACTGTCCCTTCTATTGCTATGCCACATTTTGGAGTTTTCTTCTTTGATATAGCCATTGTTTCTGTTTTCTTGATATTCAAGAAAAATCAAAGACATGCAGTGGGAAAAATAAGAAGAGACGGAATCACCAGTGGAGAACTACGAACAGTGGTAGGAACAGCACCGGTGAATGATTTCATAGGACATCAAAGAACCAAATGGTTTGGTCAGAATGGATTTAAATCAGTCAGCAGCTAGAGCGTACTACATGAGAACATTAGGCTACAAGGCAAGAGGTAGACCAAGAAAGACATGGGTGGAGGAAGTAAAAGAGGTTCTAAAAGATCTGAACATCAAGCAAGATTGGCTAATAAACAGCATCTTGTCTCGTAAGTTAAAATATTTTGGCCATATCAAGCGCCACAGCTGATTGAAAAAAATAATAGCAGAAGGCATGGTACCTGGAAGGAGGAGCAGGGGCAGACCCAACGAACATGTGCACAGGATTCAAGTGATACTTTATAGATAAATGTGCGTGAGGCGGGAGAGCTAGCAGGAGACCGAGTTTCCTTCAGGCAGACTGAAATGAGAGCGACGTCAGCAAAAGACCTGCTACATGATGATGATGATGTGTCATTTGTAGAAGAATAAATGTCTTTGTTACTGAAGAGAAGATAGTGTCATTTAGAGAAATATGTCAGTTGTCACTAGTAGTATAAACACAAGCTATCCACCTTCCACCACACATGTCTACGCAGAATTATCAAAATTTTCTGGCCTGATACAAACACTAAACTGCTTCAAGTCACAAACCAAGAAACTTTAGCCAGTTCGATTACCAAGAGAAGATGGAAATGGCTTGGCCACGTTATGATAATGCATTCTGATATACTGCCAAAACAGCTCTTACATGGATACCAGAGGGAAAGAGAAAAAAGGGGCGCCCAAAAAACAACACGTAGGCGAACGATGGAGAGTGACCTGAATGCTGCATCTCTGACAAGGAAAACTGCACTGAAGATTGCACAGAACAGGAAAGCATGGGAAGTCCTCCCTGAAGCCTCATGTGCCACTAGGCATAAAGAGAATTGATGAACTAGTAGTATAAAGTAAAATAAATATTTGTTCCGCAGGTCAGATTTCTGCTCAGAGATGTATCCTGACTGTCAAGCAGTACCAGGGCAGGCATAAAGATAGTGTGAATGCGTTTATTGAGGAGACTGTCATCAGAAGGGAGCTCGCTGACAACTTCTGCTTCTATAATGAAAATTATGACTCTATTAAAGGTATGAGTTTTTTTAATGGCCTCTCTCTTTCTTACACTGTCTCTGTTTGCCTCTATTGCTCTCTCTCTCTTTCACTGTCTGCCTTTCTCTCTGTCTGTCTTTCTCTCTGTCTGTCTTTCTTTCTGTCTCTCTTTCTCTTTCTCACTCTATCTCTCTCTTGCTCTTTCTGTCTGTCTCACACACTCTCGCTCTCTCTCTATCTCTCTTGCTCTCTCTCTCTCTCTCTCTCTCTCTCTCTCTTTCACTTTTTTTTTAACAGTATAAGGCAATCCCAGTCAGCACAAAGAGACATCTTATAGAGAGCATATTCATTCCCATCCTATGCTACCAGTGCCAGACATGGACACTCACAACAAAACATAAAAGAAAATTATTAACCATGGAAATGAGATACCTGAGAAGGGCTGCAAAGGTGACTAAAAGATAGAAAAATCAGAGATATGGTCATAAGAGAACAAGTCAGAACAGAACCAGTTTTGAATTACATACAAAGACAGCAAGTCAAAATATTTGCCCACTTTGAGGGAATGTCTTGTGAGGCTATACTTTACATGGTATACTATAAAATATGGGAAGGATGTAGCGCACGAGGTAGACCAAGAACAGGGTGGAGAGATAGGATCATAGAAACTCTAAACAATGTGTCTATGGTCGGGGCAGCCAGAAGAGCAGGAAGCAGAACCTTATCTCTCTGTCTGCACCATGAGCAATAAAAGAGCAAGTGAAGAAGAAGGAGAGGTGCTTTATTAATATCCTACCCCAGATGACGTCACAAGACAGTCCAACATTTTAGAGGGTGGTAACACGGGGTTTCCCGACTTTCTGATGCTTTTAACTACCCCAAAACATCTAGAACTGGCCCTAACCTACCTACGTCCCATGACTGCATGCAGCCTGTCTACCACCCCCTGAAATATTAGACTATCCTGTGACCTGTGGATTTCCCCTTTTGGGGTAGGATATTAATGAAGCACCAAAGAAGAAGTCTGCTTCTGCTGCTCTTCCATCAGTAGTCAGTTGTTACAGTTCCAACTACACAGCAGACAGGTCACCATATATTTGCTCCTTTCTTGTGCCAGCGAAAACCACACAGAAAGTCCATCACTGTTCCTTGAGGAAACATGGAAACAGACTGTGTTCTTGGCAAAGCCAATAGCATAAACACATATTCAATTCCCCGTGTGGGTTCCGGGGCCCTGTTATAGGGAAAACAAGAATAGACCCACTGCCTACCCAAAAGCATGTCGTAAGAGTCGACTTATTGGGAGCTTCCGTCAAAGTCAGAGTGCGTCTGCTTGAGAGGCAAGGAACCAACAGTCCGCATACAGATTAGTCAGATCTGTCAAACAGATACACATGCAACACTCAAGTTCTGGAAGAGGACTGCAGTCCAGAGGTGGACGAAGAACCAGAGCTTTCCGCCAGAAATTACAGCTGGTGAACGCACAGAAGAAGAAGATATTAAATGAATAAGAAAGACAAAGGAGACAGAGATGGTGAGTGGCCCGCTGGAAATAGATGCTGAACCTGGATAAGCAAGCAGAGACTGACTGCCGGACAAAGAAGAAGATAGACCAATCAACTACTGCTGACTACCTTGAGCATAGAGACACTGGGATGGCTGCTGCATAAGAAAATGGAGTACTAGTATGTTGATACAGATAACAAGTGAATGAATAAGAAAGCCAACAGAAGTGCCAACACAAACAGTCTGCCCCCAGAATTGCAGTTCATCATCGATGGAAGCAGAATATGCAACAAATCTGCAGTGTGTGTGCAGTATTGCATAAGGCACCTTAATTTCTTTGCAACATGCTGCTTTCCACATTCTGAATCTGCTGTTAACAAACACAAACAACCTTAAGTCTAGTTGAAAATAATTTCAAATGAAATCAGCAACCCAGTTTGTTGGGTCAGGCACTCAGCTCAGCAGCTGGACAATGGAACTATATACTTTCAGTTCAAATAACTTGCCACGGCTAAAAGTTGACCTGCCTATCCACCCCAGATTCCGACACCAGTGAGTAACAACCCTAGCTAATTACTTAGTGAAGAAAGGGAGGTCATCATCATGTAGCAGGTCCTTTGCAGAACATCACTCTCATCACAGTCTGCCTGAAAGAAACTCTGTCTGTCCCTTGCTCTCCCGCCTCATGTACTCAAGGAGTCACTTATATCCTGTGCCCATCTTCTTGTTGGTCGGCCCCTGAACCTCCTTCCTGGTACCATGCCTTCTGCTATTATTTTTTTCCAATCCGTCGTGGCGTTTGATATGACTAAAATATTTCAGTTTTCTGGCTTCCATGATAAGTTTCTTGGGATAGTAATGTGGTAGTTTCCCCTTACTTTCCACATCCACATGGTCTTCAACCTTCACCAACCTTTTTGATTGCTGGGGCAAGTGAGTGCCCTACTCTTTGATGCTCCTGCTAACAGTAGAGGGCACCCCAGAGATGTCCACTTATCCCGGTGGATACTTTGTCCCCATAGCTGCGTTGGCCACATCGCAGTGTGTTTACCGTCCTCTACCGCGTGGAAGTGCAGTTGGAGTTTTCCCTTTATCCAGTCTTGAGACCAGAATGACATTTCCCAAAACAGTACTTTCAGAGGGATGTAGTTGGTGTGAATTTGAAGGTAGTTTGATGTTTCCAGGAACTTACGACTGGGCTCAGAAGACTTTGGAAGCTCACAGAGGGGACAAGAGGCAGTACTTGTACAGTCGGAAAGATCTGGAGCTGGCAAAGACCCATGATAATTTGTGGAATGCAGCGCAGGTCTGTATATTGTTTATAAATCTTCTTTGTCTCCTTCTTCTCTCTCTTCCGTCTTCTTCTCCTTCTCCTCGTTCTTCTTCTCCTTCTTCTGCTTCTTCTCCTCCTTCTTCTTCTCCTCCTCCTCTTCTTTTTCTCCTTCTTCTCAGCCTCCTCCTACTTTTTCTTTTTTGTCTTCTTCTTCTGCTTTTTCTTCTCTCATCTTCCCCCTCCTTCTTCTGTTTCTTCAGCCTTCTGAGCCTTAAAGTTCATTTCTGCAGGTATCATCCACATTGATTTCAGTGATTGGCCCTCTCTTTAGTTTGTTGGACTCCAAGTGTTTGTATGTCTGCCTCCATTCAGTTCATTTTCATGTGCCCAGAATTGTGGTTGGTGGTCACAATATAAACAATTTACATTATGCTGATGACACAGTCTTGATAGCAACAAGCCAGAAAGAACTGCAGGAAATAATAGACATTGTGGTAGTAGAAAGTGGAAGAATGGGCCTCAGTTTGAATAATGGAAAGACAGAAGTAATGGTGGTATCAAAGAAAAGAATTATTCCTAAACGTGTAATAAAAGTCAGTGGTGTTATTTTGTGTCAAATACAGAAATTTAAGTATCTGGGCACAGGGATAACATCAGATGGAAGATGCATAACTGAGATAAGAAACAGAATAGGACAGGCAAAAACTGCATTTTATAAAAGGAAGAACATCTTATGCAATATATCTTTGTCACTGACGGTGAGAAAAGGAATTCTTGCTTGCTGCATACATCCAGTTTATACATATGGCTGTGAGTCCTGGACAATCGGTAGGCAGGCCAAACAATTTCTTGAGGTCTCGGAGATGTGGTTTTACAGAAGAATGCTTAGAATACCTTGGACAGCAAAAAACAGAGCAACCAAGAGGTTTTGAAAGAGGCGGGAGCCCGCAGACATCAGAAGGAGACAGTCATTGTTTTTCGGCCATGTTATGAGAAGAGGGAAAATGGAACATGTTGTGACCACTGGAAAGATCTATGGAAAAAGGGATAGAGGAAGACAACGAGAGAAGATTCTTGACAGTCTTGTTGCATGGCATGGAGGTGTGTCGCACATAAACTGCAGAAGATCGTGGATTGTGACGAGGCATAATCGCCCATGCCAGTCGGCAAGGCACCTGATGAGGATGATGCAGTTTTTGTCTCTGTCGTTTTATCTGTAACAGAACTAAAGTCCAGAAGTGGATGAACAACCAGAACCTTCCGCTGGAGATACAGCTGGTGTTCACACGGAAGGGAATTTTTAACCCCTCGGAAATTAGGTTTGTTTATTTATTCTTTAATTTTGTGTGTCCCAAACATTGCAGTCTGTTTTCCCGCAGCTTCTAATTCAGTTCTTAATTTCCATTGGCTAAGATCCAGATGGTGACGGAGGGTAAAATGCACGGCTTCCTTCGAATGTACTGGGCCAAGAAAATTCTGGAGTGGACGAAATCTCCAGAGGAAGCATTGGTGGAAGCCATCTACCTGAATGACCGGTACAACCTTGATGGAAGGGACCCTAATGGTTTTGTTGGTAAGGTTTTCACTTTGTCTTTGCTTTGATCATTAACCCTGTCGCTCCGAGAAACTAAATCTGGTTTGTTTGTTTGTTTTAGTATCCAGAAGCCATGAGTTGTTAACCCTTAGGCTCGGTATTATGGATATCGCAACCTTTCGGCCTTGATTCCATTGTAAATCTGGGAGAAATTTGGCTTTTCTGCCTACCCCCGGGGTTGAACCCGGACCAGAAGGAGTTCGTCACCCGGTCTCCGCGCAATCCAGTTTAGCCAACTACGCTAGAGAGCCGGGCAACTAAATCTAGTCATTTCCTTTTGTGATTCAGTCCTGTAAATGCTGATATATTGCCTGTCAGCAGTGACCTGTTTTTAAAAAGGGTAGTTAAATTCTTTTGGTTCTGTTTGCACCTGCGCAGTGTTTATTAGGCCGGGATATGAATCATCATCATCAGGTGCCTTGCCGACTGGCGTGGACGATCATGCCTCTCCATAATCTGCGATCACCTGCAGCATGTATCAGTTCGTGTGCCGACACACCTCCATGCCATGCAACAAGACTGTCAAGAATCTTCTCTTGTTGTCTTCCTGGCTATCCCTTTTTCCACAGATCTTTCCAGTGGTCACAACATGTTCTATTTTCCCTCTTCTCATAACATGGCCGAAAAATGATGACTGTCTCCATCATGGCCGAAAAATGATGACTGTCTCCTTCTGATGTGGGATATGAATATAATAACTAAAAGTAGCATTTAGAGGGGCTTGTTATTGTTGGGGAAGTTATATTTGTTTTTGCCTAGATTACTAATACCTCTGCTGTGGTACAATTCTTAGTGTAGACTGGACAAATTTACGGGAATTGTTATTGGTTTTAAATATCACATGTCCGCCGATTTCTTGGGTAGTCTTCTTCTTCTTCGATCCTTCTGTCAGAAAAACTTATATCAGGAGGCCCGTAGCCTTTATGAAAGCTATCGTTAATCCATTTCCTCTCGTGTACCATACAGTTTTGTCTTCATTGTTGTTGGAACAGGCCAGATTGCGTCTCTGTTGTCAGAATACAGTTGACAGTGTTGGAGCATTTTCGGTTCCTAAACCCAAAAATTTGAACATATGTTGACGAAATCTGTTGTGCCCAGTCCTTAGTCTGAGTATAATACACTGTCCCTCTCTAGAGAGGCGATGAACTGAGTCTTGGGGAGAAAATCTGGTGTGTGTATCCAGCCACTTGGTAGTGAGATCTGACACCTTGTTTTCCGAGATAATGCCAACAGATGAGAGGGCTGTACAGCAGTTTTTTTGCATGAGTAATATGTGGTCTCTATTATAGTTTACGGGCTTTCTGCTGTGGAGAGGAGGAACTTCATCCCCAGCAGTTTTTTTTTACAGAAAATGCCAAAGAGAATTAATAACTATGATGAACAAACAGATGTTGTTCTGTATCACGAGGGATGAAGACTACCTTTATTCAAAGTAGTAATCATCAATGTTTATGAGTGCGAAGGTGGCTGATTAGTCCAATTTGAGCGGAAAGTTCTTGAGCAGTGAGGACAACAGGAGGAAGCCGCAGTAAGTGTGGGATTAGTGATATAGTTCTTTCTAGTCTGCCTCCGTTTTTCTGTCATTGCAACTTTCGCTGCCTGGCAGCTGATGCACCATGCCTGAGAGATGTACACCATTCAGAATGGTTCTTTCATGTTGCTGTGTTGATGCCCCAAAACAATTGAGAGCATCCTTATAGCTTTTTTTCTGTCCTCCCTGGGACCTATGGTAATTTCATTTGAGGAGCCAGATTGATTCAGTTTGTTCTGACTAATTGTTAAACTTAAGAGATCCCATTCTTCTGTGGAGGGATATCAAGGGTTGGTGTCACTCATACACTGCCTGGGGCTTACAACCGAAAGAGTATCGCTGTGATTCCCACACAATCCTGCAGCTCAGTATAACAGTACCGTCTGGAGTACTGAGTGTTGAAGTAAGAACTGATATGAGGGCACTTGGAACATTCCATAAGCGCTTTACCCTCATCTTCAGCAGTCGGCAAATAGTTCCAGGTCGGGTGGTGACAGTAGCAGAATGATTATACGTCCTTCTTGCTTTTCCTCTGTACCATTCTGTCCAGACCCTATGGATCTATTCATGCCTCCACATAGTTCACTTGCTTCTAAAGGGTTTGCTTACATCTAGCTTGTCTATTACCCATTGATGCAGAACCGGCCAGGCTGTCTGCCTGTTCATTTTCCAACACTCCTGCCTACACAGAGAACAATTTTCAAAGAAATTGTACGGAAAGATAGAAAAGTGCTAACAAAACCATAAAACAGAAGGCTGTGAAAACATTTAACGACCAGCATGATCTATAAGACAAAGCATAACTGTATTGTTCTGTTCCTTCAGGTTGCATGTGGTCAGTATGTGGAGTCCACGACCAAGGATGGATGGAGAGACCAGTGTTTGGGAAAATCCGATACATGAATTACGAAGGATGCAAGCGCAAGTTTGATGTCATAGCTTTCTGTACACGGTACCGGAAACTCAAAGCATAGTTGGTATCATGGAACTCAAGACATCCTGGAGCCCGCAAGGCTGAAACATCTCAGCGTCTTATCGGGTTCAACACAGTGTTTTCCTGTTGTGAATTTAAATGGCGAGGACATAAATATCGCACAATTTATTGCCTGGCATATTTCACTGCATCTTGCAAAGCGCATACTGCAGAGTTCACATATCAACACGTAAAAGGCACAAAATATGAATCATTTCAACTGAAATACACAACTCACTTTATCTCTTGCCACACTGCACATCTTATCAGCGGAAGTCTAAGATAACCACAAGTATAAAATTTATGAGGAGATCCTTTTGTTTACACACTGCAGGATTAGTTTTTTCACAATTTTTCTTCTTTTTTGTTCACCCATGAAAGTTGGCTGGCAGTTTGTGTTGTGGTTTGCAATTTGTGTTGTGGTTTTCAGCTAGACTGTGATATCTGAACCTTTTATACTTAACACAAAGGATTTCAACCAATCCTAATGATGATGACGACAGCATGCTAGTTAACTCTTTCAGTCCCAGGTTAATCAAAATAGAAACATAATTTCGCAGAATAAATAGTTAAATGGGCATCAATGATATGGCATATACGGTGGTGCATTTAAAATGTTTGGCCAGATTTCTTGTGCATACCCAGACCGAACATGAAATAAATAACAGCACACCACATGTTGTATTGATATACACAGATGTCTTGAGCATATATGGCGCGTTTGCTTCTGACAGAAAGAGTTAAGGGTCCTGTCTGTTCCTTTTCCTCAAAATATTTGTCCTAGAACACACACTGGGAAATAGATTTTAAAATGAGCCTTTAGCTTGTTATCTTTTGCTTCGTCATGTCTTTTAGTTTACTCAACAATCTTTCTCCAGGTTGTATGTGGTCGATATGTGGGCTGCATGATCACGGATGGCCGGAGAGACCCGTGTTTGGGAAAATCCGATTCATGAATTATGCAGGTTGCAAGCGAAAGTTTGATGTTGACGCTTTCTGTGCACAGTACAGTCAACTCAAAGCATAAGTAGCTGCTGGAACTCTAGACATCCTGGACACCAGATTGTTGATCCCAAGAGACACCTCACGTTGAGATCTTGCAGGTTTTACCCTCCACAAGGAGTACTACATGGTAATATAAAGTATCCATCCCTTTGGTATGGGTCAGACCCATCTTCAGGAGTATTGCATGATGGTATAAGGGATCCACACCGCTGACTTCTTAGTCAAAATAACATTTTCTCATTGTGAATTTCTTCTTATTTTTATTAGCATACACCAGCTGTAAACGCCAGCGGAAGGTTCTGGTTGTTCATCCACTTCTGGACTTTGGTCTTGTTCCGGAACTTAAGTTCTGCAACGTGTCCATTTTACAGATTTGACGTGTGTGTGCAAACTGTCGGTTCCTCGCCTCTCAAGGAGATGCACTCTAAAAGAAACCCCCCCTCCCCATTAGTTGCCATTTATGACTTGCTTGTTGCGGTGGAGGCATTGGGTCTGTTATTTTGTTCCCCTCAAAAATAAGACCCTGGAGATCACACTGAGACCATTGTGAATTTAAATAATTAAGCATAAACAATGTATTGCACAATTTTGTCTCATCTCGCAAAATACACACTACAGAATTCAGTTATTTTTCTTCTTCAGTTTATCTTTTACCCCATATGTTATCAAGGGAGATATAAGGTTCTGTTTAAAGCATCATCATGTGCCCTGCCAACTGGCCTAGGCACTCATGCGTCTCCACAGATCACAATCTTTGGTTGCCTGGAACAGCTCTCTTGATAATATCCCTCCATGCCATCATTTCTCTTGGTCGGCCTCTACCCCCTTTTTCACTGATCTTTTCCAGTTGTCACGATGTTCTCAAATGTCTCTCTTCTCATTATGTCACCAAAGAACAGTGTTTGTCTCTTTATTATTGTTGTTTAGAGCAACATAAAATAAATCACAAAACATGGATCTTTCCAACTGCAATACACAACTCATATTGTCTCACACCACACTGCACAATTCAACAACAGAAGTCTGAGATAACAACTGAAGACTAAAATTAACCATATGATCCTTTTGTTTACACACTGCAGGATTGTTCTTTCATTATCAATAACAGCTACTTTGTCTGTGTTCACCCATAAAAGTGTGGCTGTCACGTTATGTTGTAGTTTGCAGCTAGACTGTGATATCTGCAGCTTTCAGCCAAAACATAGGGCAAATGTTAATTTAGTCGCCTTTTACAAAATGCGTGTTAGGAGGCCTTGGGTCAGTTAGAGCTCCCCCTCCAAATGTGTCTTGGAACACACATTGGGAAATATATTTTTTAATGAGCCTTTAGTTTGTGAACTTTTGCTTGATTATTTCTTAGTTTACTCAACAATGTGTTCCTCCAGGTTGCATTTGGTCGATAGGCGGAATGCATGACCACCCGTGGACAGAGAGGCCCGTTTTTGGGAAAATCCGATTTATGAATTACGCAAGTTGCAAGCGCAAGTTTGATGTTACGGCTTTCACACAGTACGGGAAACTCAAAACTTAGGTAGCAACACAGAACTCAGAATTTGCTGCATAATGATTGTATACTAGAAAGACTGCTTGGTGTCGTCTCTCATTTGTAATTGTAAAATAATTCCTGTACTTTGCTTTAATAGCAGCTTCCTGTCAAAATGGCTGTTGCAAATTTTTGCTTCTGACAAATGGTGGCCGTTGCATTTTTCTCCATTTGTAAACTGAAAGGATATAATTTTGTCGCCCAGCTACTGAGCTGAATGCATGGTGCGAAACTGCGCTGCAGGTTTCATTTGGTTTGTTTTTCGACTGTGAGCAAAGTGGTGTTGTGAACTGTAGATTTAGAAAATGGCAAGTGGTCTTTTGGCACAGAATTAGTGGTGCGTTATGTGATTGGAATTAATCAACATCACGCTGGCCGCCTTTACTTCCTAGTACTTTAGCTGGTGCCCATTTAAGGCTGGGGGTGGAAGTCATTGGCTCAGTATACTTGTAACTATTGTCCAAGTGTGGGGTGTAATTTTTCATTAATTGAAGCCTTATCCTGGCTTTTGCGGGGGGAGGGGGGGGGGCTGAATATAACTTGACCATAAATATGGCCTGGGAGTTGCCGTGGCCGAGCGGCTAGACGCTCGTCGCAAGTTTGCTCCCTGGCGGAGCCGGACTTTTTTCAAAAATGACCTTGGCTCCCAGGTCGACCCAGCCTTGAGTGGGTACTGGGTGCAAAGTAAAGGCGGGCAGCGTGATGCTGACCACATCACCCATCCTGTGCCGATTGGTCCATAAAAATATAGGTCTAGCCCTATACGCCTAAAGGCCTGGAAAAGGGACCTTTACCTTACTTATTTATAAATATGGCCTAACGGTTGAAAGGGGTTTCTGGGACCTCTCCACAGGTGCTCCTCATCCGCATGGTGGCACTTAGTGTCACCGGGTGTTTATTGTTTGTGTGAGGGGGTACAACAAGAAAGAGAGAGAGGTCAATGGCTCATATATATATATATATATATATATCAGTTTTTTTTTTATAATTTACCACTGATTCCATATCAGCATGTTTTCTTCTGTCTTCATTTCTGATCCTGACCCTTCATGTTACATTATTGATTCATCATAAACAATTAATTTCTGTTGTTTTAATGTTTCTTTTTTTCCCCTTTTCTTGTCAAACTCCACATTTAACACAGACAGCACAATGTTGGCGAATCATTCTATTTTTTCAGAGTTGTAAAATAAATAGCGGGAGTCGCCGTGACTACACATAGTTAGCATTCTTTGGATATTTTCTCCAGGGTATGCAGGAGTGTTAGGAAATGAACAAGCAGATAGATTGACTGGTTCTGCTGAACGGGTGGTGAATTTGTACATGTCAAAGCCCTTTGGGAGCAAATGAACAATATGAGGACATGAATAAATCATTATGATCTGGAGAGAATGGTACAGCTGGGAGTGAGCATAGGATCTAGTAGATGATTCACACTCAGAGGAGAAGCAAGATGGACATATGCTCAAACTGCTACTGGCGCCATCGGAATTCGAACTCTGCGCTGGCTGCTGAAGATGAGGACAGAGTGCTTGCGGGAATGTCCCAAGTGCTGTGATGTGTTCTTAGCTCAACACACTCATTCAAACACAATGATATATCTTTGTTATGTTTGCTATAACTAAAATTGATATTAAATCTAGTTGAGTCCGACCTACCCCAGTGGTGTGGATCCCTTATGCCATCATGCAATACTTCTGAAGATGGATCTGACCCACCCAAAAGGGATGGATACCTAATGTACCATTTAGTACTCCTTGGGGTGGGTTAAACCTGCTAGATCTGACAAACCCCATTGGGCTGGAGTCCTTATACCACCATGCAGTACCCTACAATGGGTTATGACACATGATATTACTCCTGTTGATCCATATTGTCACATTTCAAGTTTTTAATTTACCCTCATATTTCTAAATATTGGAATACACTGTTTTTACATGTTTCTTTAGTTGTTTCGTTTCTTTCTGTTATGAAGCGAATAGACTATAAATTAAGAAACAGGGAGAAGACTAGAACCAAAACCATTCATATATGAGGCACGTTTTTTAAGTAAAAATGAAAAAAAAATATTTTACATATAAAAATGATTTATTGAAGCCAAAAATGAACCACACATTTACATTATTTCTGAAAAACACAAAGTGCCGCCATTCTGACGAAGAATCGCCCGGGCACAAGTCCTAGAAACCCTGTTCAACCGTTATATCTAGGTCCTCCGACAACATCCGGGAGTGGGAGCTTTAAAATAACTGAAAATTGTGTCCCATATTTGGACATCAAATCATGAATGGTTCTTATGATCAGAAAGTGCTTTTATCCGGATAAGAATTCAAGCAAGTAAAATTGTAGTTGAAACAAATTGTTCTTTACAATAGAAACATCCAAGATCGCCTTAATTGGTCTGCACTGTAACTCCTTAAAGAGCAGCAGATAAGGTGGCGTCAGCATCTGGT